GGATGGATGGATGGATGGATGGATGGATGGATGGATGGATGGATGGATGGATGGATGGATGGATGGATGATGGAATGATGGATAGATGACCGATGGAAGGATGGATGATGGAATTGGTGGATGGATGGATGGATGGATGGATGGATGGATGGATGGATGGATGGATGGATGGATGGATGGATGGATGGGTGATTAGCATTAACATCTCTTCCTAAACTGTAATCTGGATCCTCTGGTCAGATCTAATCAGTTGTTTCAGCTGCTTATGAAAAAAGCTGCTGAACTAAACCTCAACCAACAGAAATGGAACATGGAGCTGTGGAGATGGTTCTGATGGAGGATCGGTACCAACAGCAGTTCTAGTCTGTTGCTGTCACCCATGACTCGTCAATTTTTTTCCATTTGAGTGGAGGAAAACTGATCCTGCTCTAACTCTAACATCTCTCTCTAATGTGATCCCCAGCTGCTATCCCAGCTGCTCCACAAGCTCCTGGTGAGTAATCCAACTCATAGAAACATCTGCTGCACCTGGAGTAGTCTGGGAGTAGGAAGCTCCTCTGTCAGGTCTGGATCGCCTGGATCGCTCTCGGCATCAAAGATGCGGCTGTAGTTCTGGATGAGTTGGACCATAATTTTATTGCAAATATTTTGATCCTTCACCGCCTCCAGACTGGGAGCAACTCTGCGAAATAAAAACATGAGAGTAGCTTTAATTTGTGCATGCATAATGTTGTGTTTCCCTGAATAAATGCTGCGCAGTCAGATTCTCGGCAGTGAAAGGAACTCAGTCTGTGTTTGATCAGAGCTGCCAAACTGATAACAGCTGGTGTGATCGAGGCTTGGCTGCAGGCCTGACTGTAAGTCTAATTATAAAACCTGTGCATGCACAGAGCCTGTGGAGAGGAGAACAGTGTGTACAGTATGAACCAGTCTGTACATTCAGATCCGATGGTGTTTTATTTCATCATTCCCAGTCTGGACAAACCAGTTTAGAACTGCAGACAGTTCTTATTTCCTCATGCATTACGATAGAACATGAAGCCCTTATCGGAATCTGCTAGAGTGGCGTTAACAATGACGACGCATCAGTTTTAAATGCGTCTTCATTTTTTTCAGGAGGACAGATGATGGGTCAGGCTAGAAATGATCCTAATCATATAAAACCTCATTAGAAAGTAAAGTTTTAAAACAAATGTCACCTTTGTAATTAAAACCATATTAGTTGGACCACAGTGATGCAACATCACAGAAACAAGAAGAAACATGCGTCGCAGAAGATATTTAATGAGATGTAGATTAAAATACAACAAAAAAGTTGAATAGCCATTTAATTAAAACACTTATTTTTGAATATGAGGAAGATTTATATCAGGATCTAAAAGTTTCTCCAAAGCTGAAAGCCATGGATTAAGGATGTGATTTACAGGTTCTTTGAGCGTCCCTCATGGCAGAGTAAACTGTTCCAGAGTTTGAGGTTCTGCTGGTTCGGGTTTGGTTTGTCGAACAGAGCTTTTGGTTAGTACAGCTCCATGCTCTTAGCGGAATATGGGAAAAATCAGACTTTCTGTATTTAATATGATAAAAAAAATTAAAGCTTCTTCACTGAGGTTCATGAAACCTTTTAATTTTTAAATTTGGGTCAGCAGAAAGTATTCACATCTTCTTTCCACAATGTGCAAAATAGTCCATAGTAAATTCAATGTTTCTCTAGATACAATTAAATGTTTGTATAGATATAAAAAGTCCAAATTTTAACAAAAGGGGGAAATATTCAAGTCCATTGTTTATTATTGAAACACCTTCAGCAGCATTCACTGTCTATAGGAACATGGTTGCATCTGTTTTTGGCAACTTCCTCAAGTTCTCTGCAGATCCTCTAAAACTTAATGAGGTAAACGGACATGTTTGGGTCTTTCTGGGTTTGCTCATCAGGGTTTAAGGTCTGGACTCTAATTTGGTCTCTCAAAGACCCTTCCTGAAGCCACTCTCTAGTCATCTTTTCTGTGTGCTGTGGGTCATGGATCACTGGAAGTCAACTCACCGCCTTGGTGTGGCATTTGTTTTATTATTATAGATTATTTTACGTATATCTTATATTTTTTAGGAGTGTCAATACTTTTTAGGGGCAGTGTATTTCCAAAAACAGATAGGTAAACTCAAAGATTTCTGCAGTGTGAATCATTTGGTTGTTACTTCTTTGCAGTTAGCAGGTACCAGCACTGCATTGATTCATTTTACAGCAGCGTCTCCAACCAAACAGGAGGACATAAACTAGTGTCTGTGACCACAAGCAGACCAGGCTGATCGGTGTGGGAAAAGTAAACTAATGCAGCTACATGATGATTCATTTAAAGGATTTTTGGCTTCACTTGAGTGTGTTAAGTTTTACTTACAGGTGTTTGGATTTTGCTGCTTATTTCTATGGTCAATACACCCCTTTTATTCAGTTATCCTTATGCGCAACAGCACCATCTGCTGGCTAAAAGTCAGTACAGATGGAGACCTTCCTTAATATACTGTAAAATGGAAAATGGCCTGTATAGTTCTTTTTACAAGTCAGAGGACTTGAACGAAGTACCTCACTCACATTCATTCATTCACCCATTTACACACACACTCACACACTGATGGTGACAAGCTACATTGTAGCCACAGCTGCCTTGGGGCTCACTGACAGAAGCAAGGCGACCACCATCAGTAGGCAATGCCCCAAATCTCTCCAGTGGCTTTAATATGACTAAACATTCAAAACAAAAAGCTAATTAACTCGATATGGTTGCTCTCTGTCGGCTTTGTTTTAATGTTTTACCATTAAACAGGGATTTATTGAGCTTCCCAGCATCTCTGATTAGTGGTTAGTTCTTCTGCCAGATTTCAACGCCCTATGCAATGCAGTAGATACTGTAACGACAGACCTTTCCTGTGCTATCAGTCTTTGGTTAATTACTCTGTGGATCTGCTGTTTTAACAGCTGTCCCGTAATCTCTCCTTCAGTTTTCTACACGTGTTTATGGATGTTGTAATGTTGTGTGGTTTGTTTGATGTTCTTGTTGGGTGTGTGCTCAGTTTAATGACATACTGTATTTCACCTTTGCTCTTCTGGTTTCACTATTCTGTCTCATAGAAAAACTAATTTCTTTATCAGTGCTTCTAAGCAGCCTGATCTTAACATTTAAAGTCTTGACCATTATGTGTTTTCAGGATCTGTGTTTTCTAGATGCCTTCTTAGTCCCATAGCTTAACCATAACACATGGTTCCGTGTCTGCTAAAAAGATGAGGGAAAGAGAAAAGAAAGAGTAGCTTTCATCTTTCTTCGTAGTTGAACTGTATGTTTGCATGTGAAATAAGGAGCCAGTTCGCTTTATAACGGGGTATAAGTTGGAAATCCCTCAAAGGATCCTAATGACAAATTTGCTTCCATCTGAAGCAAGTCCTTTAATGCTGAGGAAAATTTTCGGGAATCATGTTGTTGACACCCTGTATTTGTTCAGTTAACCTGTTTTCTTTGGTGGTTTTGACTGATTGAAAAAAAAAAAAAATTGAGCTGTGTCCTTTTGACCAGCTACTGGAAAGAAAGTATAATTAAAAAAAATATATTTTGCTTAATATGAGTATATGATGCAGCCTCCTTCCTTGATCTGAGAAAACTTATAGGGTGGATTTATCTGTCTTCAACAACAAACAAACCATAACAACAAACAACAGGCAGAGAACTTTAAGTAAGTAGACATCTAGAGGGCCAATTATTCATAAAAGGTAAACGAATTGAGATTTATTCAAGGAAATCGCTCTACTCACTGAAAAACATTTGGTCCAAACACAGTGGCGAGGTTGTGGGCCGTCATGCGGTTTTCTTCATGGTTCCTCTCCACCAGAGTCAGGAAGTTGCAGAGGTAGCGCAGGAGGCTGTGGTGAATATCGGGCAGCAGCTGAAGCTGGTCTCTAATAAACCACCAGGAAACATCACCTGCACTGTCTGAAAAGGACATCATCAGA